GATGTGAGTCATATGCGGATATTGTTTAAAGATGATCACTTGTGATAAAGGTAGCTGGGCTCTATTAACTGAATGCTCACATGAGTTGAATAACCATCACATAGTTAGCCACTTTAGCCACGTAATTACAATTATTCATTCATTCAGGATTGTACAGATAGGACACTTTTCACACTTAGGGGTTTATCAGAGCGACTTTATTATAATACACAAAACACAAACCACGGTTAGATAGGTGAGCAACAAATAGGTACACCATACAAAAGAAATATCCATTCAAACGATCAAATTGTTTATTCACACCTTTACTTAAGTTTTTGCAGAAATACCATTATCAATTTAAAAATTTGTGTATTATCTTCACTTAGTAGTACATTTATGTTTAATGGCATCTTTAAACCTACTTTCAGCAATTCTTGAAGCAGCCACGTACTTGTATTGACATGTAAGGAACAGTTAACGAATATGTGATTTAGATCAGCTATAAATACTAGTTCCACACACACATCTGTCTGTTGAGAGAACTCCGATGTTATGTAGATGCTTCGGAAAAAATCCATGATCTACTTTTAATCTTAGGATGGTGGACACTGTATTTCTACTTAGTGTAACAACTTTGTAAAATTGGTTCGCAGCCACTGTTATTTGTACTTGAAACAAATTAGTGTATGTAGTTTCACCGAACTGAATCCAATGTCTTTCCCATTTAAGTTTAGTATGCTGTTTTACATATATGCAAGGACATCCAATGTGTTAAATTCTTTAATCGATATATGTGGGTGCTTTAGTGGATTTTTAGCTATTTAATCCGCAATACTTAATATGTCTAAATGTGTCTTAACCCATACCAATTTAACATCATATTATAATAAAGCTGATAATTTTAGTAACTGTAGAAAAAATTTTAATATGAATATATTGCTGTTAATTGTGACTTTAAAGCTTTGTAATTCATTTAATACTGATAATCAACCAGTGAACATGACAATTTTGTTCCAGTGGTTTTCACAGCACCATTAAAGGCCTTTATATAGCACATGCTTCAGCGGAAAAGATGCTATATTAATAATTATTTAAAGTAAATGCTTTTTTAATATTCATTTTTGGTACAAAGTAAGCACTGGTTGTACATGTTACTTATTCTGTACACCGAATGGTTAGAGCCAAATTAGAGATAAAACATAATAAAAATAGAAATAAATTTAGAAAAACTTTGAATATAGACACAGATAAACTAAACTCTAATACAGAACAATATAAAAGCAACTTAAAACCCGCGAAAGTATTAAATCTAGATAAACTTAGGTTAAACGAAATCAATGAAGGCGTAACAAAAGAACTATTAAATACAAGCTCAGAAGTGGTAACCGCTAACAGAAAACGAAAATACAAAATAAGTGTAGAATCACAAAACATGCTGAAACAAAGAAAATATCTTCTGAGACAAAACAAAAGAGACACTGCAGAATTTAAGGAACTTAATCGAGTAATAAGAAAACATATAAAAGAGGACATTAAAAAACATCAAAAGACCATATAGAACAAATCATAGAGAAAAACCAAACTCTCAAATGCACCAAACCGAAACTAGGAAAGAAAAACATAATAACCATTAAGAATGAACAAGAACAACTAGAAAAAAATTAAATCTGATATTGCAAACTCAATTGAAAGTTCTACGCCGATCTGTACCGTTCCAAAAACGATCCCCCTAACTTCTCAAAGCAGAACTTCAAAAGGCAGATAACAAATGTCAACTCAGAAGTGATGCCCGAAATAAGCCACGAAGAAATAGAAAGAGCAGCAAAAGAAATAAAAAGAAATAAAGCTCCTGGAAGCGATGGAATCCTAGCAGAAATACTGAAGGAAGGCGGAGAAGAAGCCATCACATATCTAAAAATATTTAATAAATGTCTATTCTAAGGCAACATACCCGAACAATGGAATACTGCTAAAACAATACTAATACACAAAAAGGGAGACACCACAGACCTGAAAAATTATCGACCACTTTCACTTCTTTCACAACTTTACAAAACCTTTACAAAGATTATTATAAACAGGTTAACAATTAAATTTGACGGATATCAACGAGTAGAACAAGACGGATTTAGAAAAAGGCACAGCACCTGTGACCATCTACACACATTAAAAATACTAATAGAAAAGACTAACGAATACAATCTCCTATTACGTCTGGCTTTTATAGATTATGAAAAAGCTTTTGATAGCGTAGAACTGGGCAATAGAAGAAGCATTAGTCAATAACCGGATCGACTCCAGGTACAGAATACTAATACATAATATTTACGAATAAGCTGAAATGATAATGACATTGGTTAATGGAATCGAAACAAGACCAGTAAAAATCAATCGAGGAGTAAGACAAGGAGACACAATATGTCCAAAATTATTTACAGCTGCGCTAGAAGATATCTTTAAGTCAATAGACTGGGAAAATAAGGGAATCCCTATTAACGGAAGATACTTGAACCATCTTAGATACGCAGATGATGTAGTACTAATAGCCGACACGTGGAATGCACTGAATACGATGATTGAGGAGCTACACACAGAATCCCTAAAAAAAGGACTGAAAATGAATTTCAGCAAAACTAAACAATGTCAAACAAAGATGACAAACGTATGATAAACATCGAAGGGACAGAGATAGAACACGTAGATGAATATACATATCTGGGTCAAAATGTCAGGGTAAACAAAGAAAATCAGACTACCGAAATAAGGAGACGTGTAAAAATGGGATGGGCAGCATTCGGAAGACTCTTATACGTACTTAAAAATAGAAAATATACCTCAAAGACTGCGAACCAAACTGTTTAATTCCTGTATCCTACCTGTGCTTACATATGGAGCTCAAACCTGGACATTCACTAAAATAAACATTGAGAAGATCAGAAAAAGTCAGAGACCTATGGACAGATGCTGGGTATCTCACTCAAAGACCATAAAGCCAGTGAAGACATTCGTAATAGAACAAAAGTAAAAGATGCTGTCGAACAGGCAGCTAAATTGAAATGGAAATGGGCTGGACATAACGAATGTCTTACAGATGGCCGATGGAATAAAGAAATCGGGAATTGGCGGCCAAATAAAGCCAAAAGACCACGAGGAAGACCGCAAATGCAATGGAGCGACGATATTAAAAGAACTACAGGACCAATGTGGAAACGTCTTACAAACAACCGAGATGAATGGAACAGAAATTAGAAGAGGCCTATATTCGGCAATCTGAATAGAAGTCTTTTTTAAGAAGAATGTAGTTGTTAAATCAACTGTATTTAATTGATTCATTATTTTAGTATTATATGTGCACCGATAATGTTGGATTAGGAAGTATTTGCTTGCCAGATAATCTCTGCGCAATTAGAGTGGGTTTTTAGAGGATATAATCAGTGTGGCTGGTTCTGCAGAGAAGAGATATACCACCGATATCAATATTTTTGTCCTTCAAAATTATAGGTGATGAAAATTTTTGACATAAAGTCCATGCTACCAGCAAGACAGTCATGCTCTCTTTTAAGTGCATTCATTGTTCATTGATTAATTGCGTTCCACTGCACGGTTTAATTTTCGCATATTTCGCATTTTCGCAATTAGACATTATTAAAAAGTATTATTACTAGAATTCATTTGTAATTGTGGACTAAATTGTTAAGGCATGCTCATTTGCATTTTATTTCGTACATATTTTAAATTTTCTGTGGGCATATTATTTGTCTTAACTCATGTACAAAACTGATGCGAACAACTATCGATATTTATCATTTTCCTGCTTTGAACAAGTATAAAGAATGGAATCTGCCATTTTTTCAATCGAGTATGGGATAGGAAGGTCTCTTGCTACACTTCAGAATGCTATATCTAATAAATCTTTGTTGGAATCTAAAATACCGGAAACGTGGCAAAGGGCACAAGGAATGTCACTCTTTAAAAAAGGTGACCGTAACAGTCGCGAAAATTATCGAAGTATTTTATTAAATGCAATCTAAAAAATATATAAATACAACTCAAAATTAGTAACAAATAATTATAATTGAAATAAAAATAAACATGTAATTTTTTCTTCTTTAACTAGGAGTTTTTTTAGGGCCTTTAAAACAAAATTCTTAAAAGATATTCACCCTCAAAATTTTGTAGGAAAGAAAAATCCTAAACCTTTCTTTCTAAGCAGCAAGATAATTTTTTTAACGGCGTCCCACTTTTAAATAGTTTAGAAATTTTCTTGTTTAGTATTTGCCCGGGACATATTGTTAAAAAAAATTAAGGGTGAATATTAAAAAAAAAACTCCTAGTTA